TATATATTTATGTCTAATGTGGTTAGTGTCTTCTTTTGTATATATTTGATCTAGGTTCGAATCCCACACTTTACATCTATTTTTCTCAATTTTAGTTTAACGAGCCAATTTCGAGCCAAACACGAGCCGAACACGAACACAAATATTTAAATCGAGTCGAACACGAACACACTGTTCGCGAGCCGATTTCGAACACGAGCTATTTCGAACGAGCCGAACACGAGCCAAGCTTGAGCTCGCTCAAGCTCGGCTCGTTTACAGCCCTATGCGCACACACAGACACACACACATACATGAAGCTATCAAAAAAGTTCATTGTTATGTATACATATATTTTTGCATATACATGTATAAATTGTATATACTCATATTCATACATACATTCATACATATCTATGTATATCTACATCTATATGAATATAGATACATATAACACACACAAAAGCTTTGGATAGCGACTAATATTCATACACACACACACATACATACATACTACATAGACAAATACAGACACGGGCACGCGGACAGAGAGAGATGGAGACAGACACTTAAAAATTTGCATATCCATGCATAAATTGTGTATGCTCATATTCATACATACATCCATATGTATATCTATATCTATATCGACATAGCTATATAACTAAAGCACACACAGCACAAACAGACGTGCGCGCGCATACAGACCCAGACGCAAGCACACACGAGCACACATGCCAAGACGCCGACGTAGACGAGGATGCAATTGCAAACGCATGCATACATGCACATACGAAAATAGTTGGGACATGTAGACTAAAAATACATAGAGTAGGCATCATATAGAGCACCAAAAAAAGTTAGGATACATCTCATGACGATGATGAGGAGAACAAATATTTTGTAATTTATACAAAAAATACTCTTGCTCAGAATCTCATTTTGTATATAAGGTAATTTTTTTTTTCCAGTAAATAGAGCGATATAAAGCACTAGCATCCCAAAAGAAAAAAAAAAATTGCATTTTATGACTATATTTACTAAAATCAGCTAAGCGCATGCAAGGCAGAACAGTCGAAGGCAAATTAAAAAAAAGCTTACATATCAACAAATCCAGGCATGACAACAGCATTTCCATAGTCCACCACATAACCTCCAGCAAACTGCCCGCCGCTATAATCATCGCTAACCACCGAGGCGATTCTCCCACCCTTTACCTCAACTGGAGGCACCAGATTTAAATATAACAAAACATCATGAAAAAAAAAAACAGATATAAAACTCGTCAGATTTTTTACAGAATTAACTTCTTTTGCTACAAAATGCAAAGTAATCCATGTCATCAAAATATACATTAAGAAAATAAAAACAAACTTTACACTAAAAATGCATCCTAAAATCAAAATCTCTCATCTTCGCAAAAGAAGGGAATAAGTTGTCAACAAACCTGCGCCAGCAAAGACACCTTCAGGAGTAACAATGCGATTGCTGCGAATCCAGAACTCATCATGGGACAAAAGGCTGCAACCGCCATTCGCCTGGTACCAAAAACAAAGAAACAGAAAACTAATCACTCTTCAATAAATATAAGGAAACAGAGAGTAAAGTGAGGTTTTGAGTGATTACCTGAATTTCATAGAAAAAGTAGAAGAAGGGCGAGGAGAAATTAAAAATCTGCAGCACCGAAACCTTGTGAGAGGTTTTGAAGTAGAGGAGGACGGAGACGAGCACGAAAAGCAGCGGAAGAATCCACCGCCTGAGAACGCCCATTAGAATTCTCACCGCACCGCCGCACCGCCGCTCCGCCTCCCGCCCGCCGCCTCTCCAACTTCCGGGAATGCAGCCCCGGGGCTTTTATAGGCGCGCCTACTCAATTCTTCTTAATATGACATTTACATATATAACACCTAATTCTTATGTATTTACAAATATAACACCTAAAATTCATTGTTTTTCTTATGTATTTATATACACCTAAAATTTATTATTTAGGTCGTGTTTGCCTTAGATGCAGATCAAATCATTGAAATCTTGTGAGCACGGGACAGGATAGAGCATGCAAGCAATAGCGAAAAATTATTTCAGTCAGACATCACATGCTTAAAACATACGTTCTGCATGCATGTCTGATATCTATCATCCATCATTTTTTAAAAAAAAATTAAAAATTAGACTCACCGAAATACATGTTTTCTCTGGTGAGCGGCGGGGATCGGACAACAAAGCATTTTTGCATACACTATCTATATGGAATAATTTTTTAGCATTGGCTAAGTAAATCTATTTAATCCGGTCACAAACAGAATTGATAAATCCGGATTTACATTACATATTAGATGGAATAGGTGAGGGGTAAGAGAAAGAACATGAGAGAATTGGATTTAATGGGAAATTGAATTTTATTTTATTTTATTTTATTTTTTTGCTCGATTTATGTTAAATTCATGACTAAATCATGTTAAAAAATGCAACATTCCTGCATATAAAATTGGTATGTATGTAAAAATTGAAGTTTGGGTGTACGATATGTAATTACATAAGAATAGAGTGATATGTATGTAATTCTTCCAATATTTTAGCAATATACTTGTATGAAATATCTCCAATTAGACTCACTGGCTTAAAAACACTGAATTTTCATAATTTAAATATGAATTTTTATAAAATATTTAAAATTTATATTTCACTTTATTTATCGAATATTTTTTAATATTTTCTTCAATATTTTTATTCCTTTTATAATTCTATTATTACAATTATTTATATTATATTTATTTTTGTATTTACTAATAAATAAATTGATTCATGAGTCTGCTTAAACTCATAAAATTATAATTTGGCTCGAGCACAGCTCGAATAAGTAATTAAACTTAAGCTTGTCACGAGTCATTCAAAGCCATCTTCAGTGAATTGTACCAATTATTAAAATACATACCAAAAAAAATATTTTGTCTTTGAAATTTTTGTTTTAAATATTATGTTAGTTGTAATAATTTGTATGATATATTCAAATCTATTTCAATTAAAAATAAATTATGCGAAGAAAAATAAAAAAAATGAAATTAAAATATAAAGTGACCTCTAATAATAGAGTTGTGTTTGAACTGAAGTAGCATTGGCAAAATATTTCCATATTTCAGTTGGATTACATCAAGGATCAACTTTAAGCTCATATCTTTTTGCTTTCGTTATGGATGCTTTACTGGACAATTATAGGAGGATGTACCTTGGTGTATGTTTTTCACTGATGTTGGCATAACTTTTTGATGTCATGAGTGTAGGGTGCCCACCTGCACGACTCAAGATAATTCATGGTTCTTCTGTAGCATCACTTAGCTTGAGACACCCATTCAGAACTCTCTAGCACATGTTTGAGACACAAAACTAAGGTTGGTAGTGATTTAGCCTTACCCGGGAGAACCAGCAGTCGAAGGGGCTCATTCAAAACATGAAAAATATTCGTTGCTCATTCTAGTGTTTAGAAGTCACCACATGTTAGTCTGGAGCCACCCATGGCGAAGGGAAGTCATGAGGTTCTACGTGTCCTACAAGAAAATTAGGGCTTGGGTCAACCTATTGGGGTGTCAGAACTTTCGAAATGTTCATTGTAAGTTGCAGGGTCAAATCCTGGCGACATGCAACTTTCCTTAGCTTTTAGGTCGATAAAAACGGTTTTGTGGACTTCCGTGCCCAAAATTATGGTATAGATTGTTGGTGTTGTTTCTGAACCCTGGTGGCAATTCTTGCCCCCATACGTTGCACCCCTAGCATTCACTCAGATGTAGAGAGTTCCATACTAATTCAGGACACTTCTTGGAGATAAAGAAAATTAAAAAAAATTAGGAGGGTGGTGCCCCAGGCTTATGGGGGCGCATATGTTCCCCTATGTGGGTACCTAGGCACCGACACCCAAATATTGCACTCAATTGGTGTGCCATCCCGAGAGGATGACATCTATGCACCATGTTGTCGGCGTCTTTGTGATATTCTGTTGTTGCTTATGCGCTAGCTCCTAAGCATGTGCGCCTAAGCGCCCCACAAGGGGCACGTACAGAAAGCCTAGCGTCTATGAGCCTAGAACCTGGCGCATAGGAGCCAGGCTTAATTTTTCATGCGGTCTCGACTTGCAAGTCCCCAGAAACCTGTCGAAATGTCGTAGAACCTCCGACTAACTATCATGGATCAATCCTAATACTAAAAATGGAATCTGGGCTCACCCGAGATGCTTCCTAATGGGGCAAGTTGTCATTCCATGCATTGAGCCCAGGGAATAACTCCTCGAGCAGGGACTCTCAGCAGGGATCGAACTTCAATTTGCAAGTTTGGCCTGGGAAAGCTCTGTGACCTGTGGGAGAGATGTGATTAAGCTTTGGAGAGATTTGAGATATCTTCCTCTTGATTATGCTTCCATCCTTCTCTTTCACCTCTTCACTTTCATTTTATTCGTCTTCTTCCTCTCTGTTTCCCTTTCTAACCACTATCACACTGGACAAGATAGAGGAAGAGAATAAGTTTTTGTGTGCTGCCTCATCAGAGTTTCCTTCATGAGAGCTTCCTTGTTTCTGTGAGAAGGAACTTCATCAGAGCTCGAGACATCGTAAGAATCTCCTCCTTGGGGAGCACTTCTTCATACTTGGGAGAATGGTTTTCGTTGGAGCTCGGTAGCTCACCAGATTCTCCTCCTTGAGGAGAGCTTCCTTGTGCTTTGGGGAAGAACCTTGACAAATTCTCTCCTACTGTTGGCAGAGCTTCTTTCCAGACACCATTGGACGTCAAAGTAATCATTGTGGTGGTAATTCTCAAACTCTCGCATTTTTCTTCTTAAAGGATTAAGGACCTAGGTTTTGTGTGCTCAGAGGAATCCGATAAGTTACAAATCCTTTCGTAGACTTTTCCATATGAATCTGAGCGATTTCTCTTTGATCCATAGCACCAAAATCACATAAAAGACGAGATTATGTCAATCTCGCCATTTGTTTGGCGATTTTACTTGGATGGACGGATGATATCAAAGGATCGGGTGGATGAAGACTCCCCTTTGGTTGTCATTCGCTCGATTGTGAAAAGTTCTCCTCATGAGTATATCCTTCACTCTATGCCGAACAATTGAGTGGCGAGTTCATGTTGCTTCATGCAATATGACGTTTACACCTCTTCCATCAATTCAACCCTAGGACCTGTGCGAGGTTGTTGAGATGAGTTTGATGTGTTGTCGAGTGTTTGAGTTGCACTGTGAGGTGTGTTCATCTGTTGATTTTTTTTCATGTGGATCATGTCGCATATCGTATGCGTGATTGCGCGAACACTTTGATTCAATCAGCCACCCGACATGATCAATCGATCACTTTAGATCAGGTCGGTTGCCCCGAACCAATCGACCTATTTTCTGGGCTCGATCTGCTGGCCCAGGTCGATCGCCTGATCTTTTGGTTTTGATCAAACGCACAATACAATCACCCACTTTGGGCGGGTTTGATTAGCTGTCTCGAGCCCGGGAAATTGGACCCAAAGCGGGTGATCGTACATGCAAAATCCTTTGTAAAAATCTAAACAAAGAATCCTTAGCTTTGTCAGAGGTATCACTCTTTGATTTGGTGAGTAAAATCCCCTCTTGCGAGCAGTCGGTCAGACACTCGCATTCGTTCTTCCCATCACATGTTTATCTATGCAAAGGCAGATGTGTCGGTGTGGTGGAACTCGCGTTGTCCCCCTGTCTGTTGGATGCAAACCTGGTTGTGCGGGATAGGTGGGTTCCCTAATTGTGGCCTTTGAGGACGAGACCCCTAGGGTTCCGCTTCCAGGAGAGGTGTCTAGTCGTTCCTCTGGCTGATTGCTGCCCGGAGGACCTCAAATTGATCCATCGTGAGGGTCATTTGGGCTTTGTAAACTCTGTGTCTGTGCATGGACGCATGGTTGTGAAGCATCTCTATTGGGTTTCATGTGTGCTATCTCACTTTGGGAAGCTTTTCTTTTGTTGTTAACTCCGCTTCTAGTTTAGGACATGTTCACGCCCACCGCACCACCTTTTAGAAGGTTGGATCTTGGATCGTCTTTTGTGAACATGCATCGAGAGTTGAGAATCGAGTGAAGAAAAAAATAAAGTGAATCAAAGTTACTGTAGAGGGAACCAGGGGAGTCCAAATGGTCCGCCTCCCATTGGTTGTTATTTGTCTCTTATTTAAAATAATATATTTGATGCAATTGCAGAAATGAGGGAACAATTATGAAAATCGTTCTTAATATGACTAATGCTCTAATACATTGTATGAATTTCATTCCATATATGTATTGCAATTTGAATCTTTATATGATGATAATTGATTGGTCAATTCGCTAGAATGCAGACGAGTGAGGCAATCAATCGGGTGATGATCGTGACTTGTGTTTGGTATGCCATGGCGTTCGGTCGACTTACTATCTCGTCTGCCACCGCAAAAGCGGGGCAGTCATCCAATCGCTATCAGAGAGTTTCTGTCTGGGCTTCGGTCGGTCAACTGATGAGTCGATTTGTTTTGTGGGGTGAACCGTGGCTTACTTGTCGCTTTGGCCTTAGTTTAACGGAGCATACATCTCGTATACCTGGTCGATTTTTTGCCTCGGTCTGATACTCCTATTAGCAAGGCCTTAGATGAATCTTATCACTGTCTGTGTGAGATATACGATGAGACTTACTAGAAGGAATTACTTCTCGCCCTTGGCGGATCTTGTCACATATCTGGCGAGGGATCCTCTCAGAAGCTTTGATCTGTACCAGGTTTAGAGATGCAATTTCACCTCCTTCACGGTAACCCATGGGGGGGCCTAA